TTTTTTTTTTTTTTTTTAATTGTTGTTGTGCAGGGTAGAGGTACTTGTGGCATTTACAAATGTTCTTACAATATATCATATTTGAATTCACCCCCTCCACCATTTTCCTTTATCCCCCTCCCCCCAATCCCCGAATAGTTTCAACAGGTATCACTTTACCATTTACATACATGTGTACACAGTATTTGCACCATATTCACCTTCCCGTGTCCTTTCCCCACCTCCTCCCTGACCCACCAGTTACCCTCCACCCTGCCCCCCACCATGCCCCGTGCCAAGGACCTGGCTTTCAGACCTCAGAATGTTTCTTATATCAGTGATACATTGGAAAAATTACATTGCTAACACAGTGAATTTGAAGTTGTGAATGGTGCCTGAATAAGGGGTGAGTTTTCATTTGTAGTTCCTTGCTTAGCATATGAAGTGTTAGTATTAATGACGTAGTGCATACATAGATTCACTGCAGAAGGAAGTGGTGCCTGAAATCTTTATTTGCCATAGCTTGTTGATACTCTTAGGGGAGCTAAAGGCGCTTGTGTTCACCCTTACCTCCTCCTACTCCCTCCATCCCATTAGGCAGAGCTGCCTAATGGCTCACGTGCTTTCAGAGTTGCACAGTAATGTTTTTGGAGATAACTGATATCTAAATGGCTCTCAGTATCCCAGACAGTGGAGCTCTTATCTCTTCTTAACGATTTAGCATGAGTGCCAGAAGTAGATGAAAAATTTAACTCTGATAGTATAAACAGGCAAAACTACCAGACTTCAACTAATAAGATTTAATGAAAAATCTACATTAAAAATTTGTAATTTCTGCATTCCCTATACAATCAATCCCTCTTTCCAATTTGATTATATACTTGTCAACATATCCATCACCATTTCAGAGATTTGTGCAGGAGCGCATTTACAAAGTGTTTGCTAGCTGTCAGACTGCAAATCACTTTAGAAATACTCATTGATCACTCCCGTCACAAAATCCTATGAAACAGGCACTATTTCTACTACACCCGTTTTGTACATAAAGAATTAGTGGCACACAAGGTTGTATCATTTGCCCAGAATTACACCACTTCTGAGTGACAGAGTTGGAGCTTGAACTCAAACAACTGAATCCAAAAATCATATTCATCACCACCCTCTCCAATACATTTGATAAATTTACCCTTTTAGAAGCCTAGTGCTAATTTTTGAAAGATGAATGCAGCATGTTTCCAAATTCATTTGATTGTTATAAAAATAATTTTTAAAAATTAAGAGGTGAAAATGACATCAATCAATAAATCTTGCAGTATAACTGAGCTCTTCAAGGTGCCTAATGGGGAGGGTAAGACTACTTGGTATTCAAGAGAAGTCCTAATGTCCCAACCCAAAGGATGCTGAGATTGTATTTGACGTTTCCTGAAGGTCAAGAACTCTATGGGTTTAATTATCCATGGTGTAGGAAGGAAAGCCGAAAAGGAGCTGTTTTCTATCCTGATTATTCTAATCCTTTCTCTGCTTTAACCTCTGCATGTGATTTCAGCCTGAATCCGATTCCCGAATCAATGGTGTCTCTCCGTGGGCTTCACCACAGCATTCTGCACTGAACTACTCCCTTGATCCGGATCCAAGCCCACAGTTCCACCAGGCAGGTCAGTGTCCTCAAGGTACAGCTGCTGTGCCCAGTCTGCTTTGTACTTGCCATTTATTTCTCATTTTATTAGCATTTTGACACATGGACCTGAAATTAATGTGGATTAATTTTAACAGTATCAAAAATGCAACATTTAGCTATCATATGCTTATGTGTCTGAAATTTTCACATTTGTACATGTTGAAAAGTTAATACCAAAGAACATTATTCCAAACATTGTGGTTTTCTCTGCCCAGGACCAAGTGTATGTATACTTTATCTATCTTGGTGCCTGCGGGCCTTGCCCCAACTTCCTTCTGAAGCAGAGGTACCCAGCCATCACTGGTCACAGTAGGGAGCTGTCACCCCTGTTAGGGAGGACTCTTTAGAACTTAGGAAAGACATTTTTATTATCAATAAAATTCTACTGAAGACCATACTATAACCAAATTAATTTATTGGCAGAATATCCTTTGGTACCCTAATCAGAAGAAAAATTAAAATATTAATGTCAGTTTAATATTTTCTTAGATAATTATTGTGACAATTGATTATAGGGAAAAAAAAACACAGCAGGGTGAAAAAGTATCTTACAACATACTTTTACTTTTGTGGCAGGATAAGCTAGTCTATTCTCAAAGCTCCAAAAAGAATTAAGAAGATTGGTAGAATATTTTCCTTTTGTAGAAAAATACTTGAAATCCAAAATAGATTTCCAAGCAAGACTTTGAAATGCAATGACTGTGTTACTTATGTTTCAACCTTATATTTCCCCTTGTTGTGTGGATTCCTTCTGTACAACATCTGATAGACTTTTGACTATATAAAAATAGATTGCCAGGGCTGGGGGTGTGCTATGTTACAGCAAGGCTTTTGCTATTTCCTCTGAAATTGCCCTTTCCAATGACAACTCATGTCCCATCGATTATTTTGAGGCTGGTTGTAGTATTTTCCCCTGAAAGAAGGTTTTTTGATAAAAAGCTGGACATTAAGGTCTGTTGTTCGTTTTCTGTGCTGTCACAGGGACAGAGGACCTGCTGGCCCCACCTCATGACACCAGCACGGACCTCACGGAGGTCATGGAGCAGATCAACAATACATTTCCATCTTGCTGCCGTGAGTAGAACGACCATAACACCACACCATGCACTCTCCTGCCCTTTCTATCTCTCCCTCTTGTAGCCCTTCGTCTTGTTAGTAAGATAACAAAAACCAAGCCAGAAACAGGATTGAGTGTTATTTGAAAACAAGGCAGACTCTGTATATATTGACAAAGAAAACCAAGCTCAACCTGGTCCTGTGGCAGCTGACATGGCAGTCCACTCTTAACAGTTTTCAATATGTCTCTGTGTGATGAAATGGAGGCAAATAAAAGAAACCTGATTTTAACAACAATTATCCTCTTCAATGCAAACTCTTGTAAGAACCTTGTATTCTTTCAAAAAAGAGCTTTTAGTGGCATGATAAAAAAAAAGCATGGAAATTGCTTTTCTCCAGTGATTCCCTCTCTTTTCTTTAGATATTGTCAGCTGTTATCAGATTCTGGTTCAGAAAGAAATTATCTTCAGATTTTCCTCTTTTGGCTGATTTCTTTCTTCATAGAATAAAACAATTATTGTGTAAAAGCCAAATAATTTAAGGCATCACAGATTATGACTCTAGATTTTCCATATGAACAACCAAGAGCCAGAAAAATCACCAAATAAAAATAATCCAAATCCCAGGGGAAATTATATAATGATTCTAATTTATTGATTTCTTTTTTCCAAATGGTTTGTATTTGGCATCTTGCCACCTTGCAATTTCTTGATTTCTGCTGAGCTCTCACCTAAGAGACCTGTGGCTCTGTGGATTCAGGCAGCAGCAGTACACACACACACACATCACTTAATGGCAGTTATATTTTAACTACCCTTTAAAGAATATGAACATTGTACTTTTATCATTTTAGGGTGATGTCCTCTCAAACTGATTGTAAAACTAGGCAGTCACTAAGATTTTACATAAATCCTTTTCTGTCATCTCCTTCAAAAATCCCTTTTTCCTAAATGAGGAAAAAGATACCACATTATAAATGAATAAGACATACCAATTGTCTTTTTTTAAATTCCTTCATTTTACACTACTCAGTTGTCTTTTAAAAAAATGCCATCATTAACAGGATATGCAAACATATATTTAAAATACATTCTTCTCTGAATTTTCAGGAGTATTAGCCTGAGGAGTGTATTATGGTTTCCATACACACATAAATATATGTATTTATATTTGTGTGTTGTTTCTCAGGTTTTTACTTGTAATTTTATTATTCTCCATCTCAGAAATTTGTAGAATCACATTTACTGTGTGTTAGTTCCCACATTTGCTCCAGAAAAAGTATGTGTATGTTTGTGTGTGTGCAAACGCATGTACACACTTACACACTTTTGACTCTACAGCTTCATAAAAACTGAAGGGAGTTGGTCAATGTCTACATGCTAGTACATTGTTGCTTATTTTCTAGGCTGTGTGGACACCAAAGTAGACAAAAAATGTTATATTAATATAATTCAAGATTGAATTGCATTTTATAAGTCAGAGTTTCAAATTAAATTTCCTAAGGAGATTACTTTTTAGTTGTATGTACACCTAAATACATTCATAATAAAAAAGAGTGAATTCTACAAATCAAATTCTGTTTAGAAATTCTTATTTAAATGTTATTGTGGACAATTTCAATTTAAAAATCAGCGGGCAGTGAACTTTGCAATGAATATAAAATGTATACTTTCCATATTAAGACTTTTAGACTACATGATTTTTTTTTTTTACAAATTTCATTTTCTAAACCATGTACTCTTAAATTTTTATCAGGGTATATTCTGATATGTATATTTTTTAAAAGATTGATCTATGCCTTGTTTAAAACAGAATACAATTAAAATGAATTATGATGGGGCAAAAATGAATCTTCAGTAAATATGTTCATTTAATGTTCTGACCCCCCCCTTTATTTTTTTTTTTCATTTTTCTTTTATTATTCATATGTGCATACAAGGATTGGT